GATAGTTAGAGTGGGCCCCTGTCCAGAAAGGACACTGTACTAACCTCCAGCACCGACCCAGGCGGGCTAGAGAATATGGTTTCCGATTGTACTTCACGGCTATTTGCTCAGAGTCCAGGTTTACTCCCACTCGGATACTAGGTATGTCTTCACTCTGCTTTGCACACTTAACCTTAGGGTGAGGGTGAAGTATGGTCTTGTGACTGTATTTTAACAGGGTGTACGTATTCTCTGAATTATGTACATAGACTGCCGTGCCGAGGGACCTTTCTGAGTGCGGGGCATGGTATCTCAACTGTTTCATGGCTGCTTAAGGACTGATTAACTCACGGCACATACACCTTGGGTAGAGAACTATGACTCAAACTCATGTGGCATCATATGATATACTCAGGTGTTTTGAGTTAAGAACCTTAGGACAGGGTGTCAGCAAACGTTCTACGCAATATCAATAACCCTATAATCTGCGATGGCGTCTGTGAGCGGTAGCGCAAAAGGATGAAAAGTAGAGGCCACAAAGAGTGTTTATCAGACCCCAGTGGTCAGGATATTATGGCACTGAATGTTACAGAGTATTTTCATTACATTGTTTGTTTTTGTTGGTACACAGAATTTTGACAGGTAGTAGATGCGAAGTGTGGATACAGCCTTAGTATATCTGTTATCTAATCATCAGAGATAAAGTGCTGTGTCATTGCTTACATTATTATTTAATTTATTACACCCAAGTGGGTGACAAACCTAGTCACAAGACCATGTGGTCAGACACTAATACATTGGTACTCGTGTCTCGCTGGACACGCTATGATTTATGATATGGAGACAATATTGATAGATTTAAGGACAATAGGAGTTATCACCCACCAAAGCGTGGGTAGCGTACAATAATTAAATCTAAATTATTATGAATTTGTAGGTAGTGACATATAGTGGTTAGTGACTCGTCCTGTGGTAGGAGGTCCCTGACAGTGGGACAGTCAAGGCAATAGTGTTGAAGGGTGCTAGCATTACAGTGTTTACAGGTAGGTCTGTATCCTATCGTAATGCGAGCAGAGACAACTTTATTTTCATTGCATACACAATGTACTTGCGTCTGTCCCTATAAGGTTCTATTTTTTCGCAGTCTAAGGCGTAGTGTTTGAATGTGTGGCCGTATGTTTGGACACACACTTTACATTTAATTTTGTTCACATATGCTTGAAGGACATTACTGCCAAACATCCTACCAGAGGTACCTATATCCTAACCTTAGTCTAGCTGTCACAACATCTAGTGATCTTGTTACTTGCTCCATATACATGTTTTACTTGATACATCTCATCATGGTAAACAGTGGATTGACTAGTGCCTGTTTACACTTGTCTACTTGCTTCGAATTCATCAAGTTATTTCCTAATTACAATTTTTAGGGTTCTGTTTGACAGTCCTAGATTGTATTCAACATTGTCTTTGTTGGATGCGAGTTTAGCGAAGGCATCGCCCTTATGATGCTGACTGATGCCCATGTGATAGGGAATCCAAAACAGCTTGATGTTGATACCCTCGTCAACGAGACACATTTGCTTGTGTCTGGCTTCAGAGACAAGCGGGTGATAATCTGAGTTTAAGTTATCAAGAGCAAGGTGTGAGGATAAGGAGTCAGTCTTTATGTGACTGTCAGTGGCATCCTCAGCGTCCTTGGCTAACACCACCTCACTCTTGTTGTGTCTTGAAGCTGCAATGTAAAGAAACTTTTAATTTCTTGGAATATTTAGACTGAGTTTCGTATAATATCTGTCTCGGCTAATATGGGAGACTTTATTTTTGCATTTGCAACTGATTTAAGACGTGCTTCACCTTATGTCTACTGTTCATAGATGCATTGTTACCTGTTCAAACGCATTCTTTACTATTCTTGACGCATTCTTACTTGTTCTTGTTCATAGACGCATTCTTACCTGTTCATATACGCATCTTTATCTGTTCATAGACACATTTTTAACTGTTCTTAGATTTATTCTTACCTCTTTTTAGACGCATCCTGCGAGAGGTCATCTTGTTCCGGGTCACATTGTAGTGGCATCTGTTCAGGGTGCTGGATTGTACAAAAAAGAAAAACAAATGAGGTTATGTTGTAGCGTTTAGTGATACGGTAATCTTTATATCGTGAGGTGAGAAACAGTCTGATTGGTTCGCTACAAATGTTGGTAAGGTGAGAAACATTCTAATTGGTTGGCTATCAATGTTGGTAAGATGAGAAACATTTATTGGTTGGCTACAAATGTTGGTAAGGTGAGAAACATTTTAATTGGTTGGCTACAAATGTTGGTAAGGTGAGAAACATTTTAATTGGTTGGCTACAAATGTTGGTAAGGTGAGAAACATTGATTGGTTGACTACAAATGCTGATGAGGTGAGAAATATTCTGTAGGAGGAGAGAGAAGACAACGAGGGTGAGGAGAGTGGAGACAGAGCGAGAGGGAGGAGAGAGACAATGAAAGTGAGGAGAGAGAGAGAGAGAGAGAGAGAGAGAGAGAGAGAGAGAGAGAGACTGGGGGTGTGTGTTTATTTTCAAGTTTAACTTTATTGGCAAAGTTTGGAGTACAATTTGCCAATTCTGAATAGTTCAGTTGGGTCTTGACACTGAGGGTTCTACTACTGTTCACTGCCACACAGGACAGTGGTTCATCTATATAGGTCATATTCATTAGTGTTATAGTCTATTTGAGGACCAATCAGTGTGGACTAACAAATTTAGGATAGACAGTGTCTCATTCAAGTGTGTGTGTGTGTGTGTGTGTGTGTGTGTGTGTGTGTGTGTGTGTGTGTGTGTGAGCGCACGCGTCTTCACCTGACTCAGATGTGTTGGGAGAGGCACACTGGTCCGGACAACGTAGGTAACATCATCATTAGCCTCAGCCTCCTTGTTGTGGTCCAGCTGTTGTTGTTCCATCTTGACCAGGTCGTCTGGGCTCTCGTTATCACCTCTCCGCTTTTGTGTGTAACGCCACAAATGAAAAATAGCAATGCCTGTGAAGATCTCTGCTAGCTGGCACACCCCGTACAAGATAGGGAATATCACCAGCTTCCCAAGAATCTGTAATCATGTCACATACAGACAACTTAGTAATCTTCCTTTTGTTATATTATCTTCAGGGGTTGTTAGTAATCTTCCTTAACATGACGTGTCCGAACCTAACCTAACTTAACCATACAAACCTAACCTAATCAAATCTAACACTAACCAAAGAAACCTAATCTAACCTAATCTACCCTACCCTAAAAAAGAAAAAACTAACCTAACTTAACTCAAAGGCTTAACCTAACTTTAACGCTAAAGCTTAACCTAACAAGCCTAAAGTTTTACCTAGTCTAAAGCTTAAAGTTAACCTAATCTGACCTAAAGCTTAACCGAACTTAAAACTTAACCTTACCAAAAGCTTAACCGAACTTAAAACTTAACCTTACCTAAAGCTTAACCTAACGAAATCTAAAACTTAACCAAATCTATGCTTGACCTAAACTGTATACGAAAACATAACAATTAACCTAATGTGTCTTAACGTGGCCTACTGCAACCCATCCTATCTTAATCTAACCTAACCTAACCCAGCCTTAACCTAGTTTAACCCAACCTGTCCTAACCTTAGCCTACATTAACCTAACTGAACTTAAAACTTGTCTTAACCTAACCTAGATTAGCCAACCTTACCTAACTAAACCCAACCTAACGAAACCCATCATAACCCAACTGTGACCTAATTTAACCCAACCTAAATTAATCGGACCTAACTCAACCTAACTCATCTTGACCTGACCTGACGATCGGTGAAGGAGATGAACATAATGGAGAGTGCCACCGACATGTTTTGGCACCCGGTCTCGATAGCCACCGTCCGGCACACCTTGTGACTCTGGGGAAATATATACATTTGTAAATAGATCTGTGAGTCAGGAAATAGATAAGTAATTGAAGAAATAGATCAACGAATGATTGAGGAAATAAATTAATGAATGAGAAAAAATACTCACGAAACAGACGATCTTGGCGGCGATGTAAGCGACAGCGAAGCCGAGGAAGGGAACGAGGGCTGCAGCGCCGACAAAACCCGGGTTAGCGTTGATGAGTTCCTGCCTGTACCTGACGATGATGAGCACTGCGGCCACCCCTACCGAGCCCCACCCAATCAATCCGCACACCTGTCCACACACATACCTCGTGAACTTGTTGAATGAATGTTGCACAGTTGACACACAGATACACAGATTGACCCTCTGTGAAATGTTTTGTAACCCTAGTTCCATTTTCATTATCTCAATCATTGCATTCTTTTGACTTCCTAAAATTATTCCCATTGCTTCATTTTGCATGATCTCAAGCTTCTGTAGCCTTCCTTCACCAGTACAAGAGAGGACAGGTGCTGCATAGCCTATAAGTGATGTTATGGTAGAAATATACATCATTCTCAGTATGGGTACCCCAGCACCTTTACCTCGACATGCTAGAGCCTTCAAGGGTTGTAATCTTGCTCTTCATTGAGTGAGAACATGATATATTTCTGCCTCTTTACTCTCACTAGTAAAGCCATTATACATTCCTAAATATTCATATTTTGACACTTTTTCAATATTTTTTTCCTTTTAGAAAAAAGAGATTCAGTTCCTCTTCCTTTACATACACACTTGGTTTTTTCTTCATTGATAACTAAGCCCACCTTTTGAGAAAGAACACTAAAATTTTCTAAAGCAATCTACAAATTTTTGACAGAGTTTCCTTGAAATAAGATGTCATGTGCATAAATGATGGTTTCAACTCCTTTAGGATATTTTTGCGAGGCTATCTTGTTCATTAACACATTAAATAACATTGGACTCAATACTCCCCCTTGGGGGGTGTCTAATTCAAGTGCTCTTTCCTCAAACAAACATCCCTGATACCATACACAGGCTCTCCTTCCATGCAAGTAGTCACCTATCCAGGGTAACAACTTTCCTGATACCCTTAGAGCAGCCAGTTCATTCATAACTACTTCACTGTGCTTTATCAAATGCTCTGTATAAATCCACAAAAACTCTACATTTGTCTGCATCATTTGATAAACATTTTATAACACAGTCTGAAGTACCTTTCCCTTTCAAAAACACAAATAAATTACAAGATAGATTATCCCCCACAGGTAGCCTCGATGCTCCTACAGTTGGTGTCAGTGAGAATACTGGCATTTGTTCTCTTGTCCTCCCAGCGAACTCGGAGGATGGAACGTAGACTACGTTGGAGAAAATTTTTAAGTGCCTTGAGGTGCCTCCTGTATGTGACCCATGTCTCGTTGCCATACGTGCAACTTTGTAGATAATTTCATCTCCCTACAGCTGAAGACACGGGTATGGAGTCCGCCAAAGGCTTGAGAAGCACATCTGATCTGATGTTGAATCTCTTCACCGATGTCCGCGGTGGTGGACAGGTGGGAGCCAAGGTACTTAAAGCGGGTAACATTAGAGAGGGTAGTGCCATTATCCTGTATGGATGGTGGAGGTTGTGGTTGAACTAGGGGCAGGTTGAAAGAGAACCTGAGTCTTACGTACATTGATCTCAAGACCGAAGTGTGAATACGCATCAGCGTAGGTATTCAGGATTTCCTGTAGGTCGCATTTAGTGTGAGCAACAAGGGTGAGGTCGTCTGCATACTGAGGTTCAGTAATGGAAGCTGCCGATACCTTTGTTCCTGCCTGGAGTCTTCTTATGTTGAAAAGACCCTTCATCCAGTGCTGGATGTCCACCTGCCGGCTAAATTGACACTGGCACAGGTAAGGAAGGCAGCCAAGAAAATGAAAAAAAAAGAGTTGGTGCCAGTACACATCCTTGTTTTACCCCTATTTGGATGGGGAAGAACTCAGATTGGGTGCCATTGTGTTGGACACTGCCGTTCATGCCAAGACGGCTAAGGGTCTGACAGAGGGCTTCCTGGTTGACCGAGTCGAAGGCCATGTACAAGTCACGACACTATTCTCTGCACTTTTCCTGTATCTGGCGGGCAGCAAAGATCATGTCATTGGTGCCACGTGATAGTCTAAAGCCACAATGAGATTCTAGGTGGAGTTTTTACGCCTTAGGAAGAAGTCTGTTTAGAGGACACAAGCGATAATCTTGCCAGCTACAGACAGCGGCGGGTCGCCACGGTAGTTGACATAGTCTGACCGGTCTCCCTTGTTCTTATAAGTATTGACGATGGAGGCGTCTTTAAGAGCTTGGGGGATATCCTCCTTCTCCGATGTATTCTCCAGGAGAGAGTGGAGACGTCTGGTAAGCAGAGGTCCTCCTGCTTTATATACCTCGGCTGGGATTCCACCAGGCCCTGTAGTTTTGTTATTTTTCATCTGTTTAATGGCAGTAGCTACCTCCTCCAGGGATGGAGGATAGCTGAGGTGGGTCAGCTCTGGGTGCTGAGGGACTTGCTGGGTAGTCAGGACATCCACATCGGTGTTTCGGTTGAGTAGTGAATGGTAATGCTCTTTCTAGCATAGAAGGATGCCTTCTTCGTTTTTTATTAGGGAGTTCCCGTTGGATGAGCGGAGGGGGGGGGGGCTGTGTCATAAGTAATTGGCCCATAAAATGTTTTAGTAGAATTGAAAATTTCTCGCATCTTGTGTTGATCTGCAAGTTTTTGCATTTCAGGTGCTTAATTTTTCAAGTAATTGTTCCTTAGATTGCAAAGCTTCCACTGGGCCGCCATTTTCTTCTTGTGGAAGACATCAGCTTTTGTCAGAGACTGAGTGTTGTTCTGCCAGTCAGTTAAGCACGTTTATCATCGACGAGCATGTTGGACTCCGGGTCATTCATCAAACCAATCCTGGTGTGTTCTTTTGATCTGGATGTAGGGTCTCTCTGCAGGTTTTGTCATGGCATTGCCGAGGATACCCCATTCGGCACTCGCATTTGGGTTGTTTGTTGTCAGGTTGCTTATCAGCCCATCCTCGAGCTGCTCTGTGAAAGCATGTGCTACTGCTGGATCCTCCAGATGCTTGGTGTTAAAACGTTCTTCTGGAGGCTTGTTGTCTTAGCCGTTTTGGGGCGACGTGGAGAGCTTGGCTCTGACGAGCCGATGATCTGTGTCACAGTGGTCTGAGCCGCGCACTGCTCCGGTGATGAGGACATCTCGGCGATCTCTTTCTCTGACAATGATGTAGTCAATGAGATGCCAATGTTTGGATCGTGGGTGATGCCACGAACCCTTGAACTTGTCGGCCTGCCTTAACAAGGTATTAGTGATAGTGGGGTTATGTTCAGCACACTTGCTGAGGAGGAGTATGCCGTTGGGATTACACTTACCTACCCCATTTCTCCTTATGGTTCCATGTCATATGTCAGTATCTTTGCCAACTATGGCTTTAAAGTCATCTAGGGGCACAACCTTATCTTTTCTGGGATAGAGGTAAGCACTCTGTCAAGGTTGGCGTAAAAGGCCTCATTGATGTCATTTTCTGCATCCAGCGTTGGGGAGTATGCACTGATGAAGGCTTGATATGAGTGATTCAGTGAAACTCGGAGCGTCATGAGGCACTCGTTGATCCCAACAGGCATTTCAGTTAGCCTATGTAGAATGGAATGATGGGTGGCAATGCCAACTCCATAAATGCAGTTTCTCTTTGCAGCAGGCTTACCCTTCCAGAAGAAGTTATAGCCAGACCCCTGTTCTGTGAGTCGACCCTCGTCTGAGGGTCGACTACGATGTTATACCTAGGCAGCTCTTTTGCTACAAGGGCGGTTCTTCATTCATGACTCTCATTTGTGCGAGTATCCAGAAGGGTTCTGACATTCCATGCAGCGACCTTAAGAAGTTGTATCGTTTTTGCTTTGATCTGTGATTATGATTATGTTTTCGTCCGCATTTGGATGGCCTTACAAGGTGCAGTTGCCCAGTCAGGTTGATTGTTTTAAGCAGGTTATGTCTTGGGCACAGACAGGACCGGATTGCACTGATGCCAAGAACCCATTGCGTAAACGACCATCTTATATATGCCCTCTATGTACAGAATTGTGACTTGAGACTTCCTGCAGTCATCTTTGCCTCTTCCCGTCGCCACTTGTTTGTTGCCATAGGATTTTTAGGGGTATAGGGACTTTGACGCTGAAAAGTATGATGAACTGGATGACGGCTGCGCATGAGTTGATTTATGTGGCTGTAACCACACATCTTGGCTCTCCCTTTTCCTGATCCAGTGGTGCAGGTAACTGCAATAACTAGGGAGCGGGAGAGTTGTAAAGGACTGCCGATAGCCCAGTTAGTTGGGTTTCGCCTTCTTAGCCTGTCCATCTTGCATTGCCTTCACCCGCCGGTGTAGTTGTTGGGTTCCAATGTTCGTCACCTCTTCCGCCTATACCGCCGTTGGGGTCTTGTTGGAGCTTTGTAAGCATGTCTGCCTGATGCGGGGCTCCACCGCAGATTTTTTTTTCAGGGTTTACTCCCATAGCCTTATACCTACCAAGGTTAATCCGCAAGGCAGCAGGGTCCACTGCTGCTCTGAGATCCCCTGCTGATCTAGCCTGGGCTGCGAGGCACCCAGTTACCGTGTGTTGCCACGAGGAGGCACAGCAGGAGTCTTGATGGTGAAGAGGCTGTGCAGGTGACGACTTACACAAGGTTGCTTCCCTGTTCACCACGAGGGCTAGCCAGCGAAGGTAGCTGAAAGCGAGAGGAAGCAAGCAGTGCTTGCACTTTAACACTAACATAATGCTAGTACACTAGATGCATTACACCACCCTGTGTGCATAACACACACACACAAACACCTATACTGTATATATATGTATATATATATATATATATATATATATATATATATATATATATATATATATATATATATATATATATATATATATATATATATATATATATATATATATATATATACAAGTAAATCACTGTAGTTGTGCGTGATCCAGGTATATGCTGATAATCAAGAAAGCGCTTGGGAACTTCGTGTTTTCTTCTTTCCTTGTGGTTATCAGCATATATATACAAACATACATAAATACATACATACATACATACATACATACATATGCATTTACATATACGTATACGTATATGTATATGTATATATATATATATGAAACTGGTCAAGGTGCCGCAGTAGATAGTAATGTAACTCATTGTAATCACTAGAAGACTGGAATTAGTATGTAGGGAGGAACCTGACGTACCATCTTGACCTTCTCAGCGATGGTCTTTCTCCTGCGTCTAATGATCATGCCAGCAATAGAGGGCACCACCGCCAGCACCAGGCTCTTGAGGATGTTTGTGTAGGGGACTGTCAGCTGCTGCGCCGTCCACCGCTGAGTGTATATGAACAGGTTCAGGGGCATCGCACCGAACGCCACCATTGACGAGATGGCTGTCATCATAATGCTGGAAGGGTTGAGTTTAAGGGGTCTTAGTGGGTAATTTGGTTGTGATTAAGGTGTCAGAAAAAAACTTGCACAAGTTATTTACGCCTGAATTTTTTAGTGAAACGACCGCGACCCCATAAAAATACGCAATGTAGAAAGTCGAGGCCCAACTCTACTGCAGTTGTAAATAATGTCACCACTGCCATACTATCAAATTTTCTAAAGATTAAATGCACTTTCTATTTAATTAATAAACGAGAGAATACCCTGGTATAAGCAAATAACAAAAGATCTACTATAATAATTTAACCATGATGCTGGATGTTGTATGTAGTCCTAAATCTGTTATACCGCAAGGATGTTTAATACTACTCGAAATGTTATGGTTAGAACAAATATCCCAACTAAATTGTTCCTGCAGATTAGCGCCGGAAACAATTTTAAGTCAGGATTAGACAGTCTAAATTTTACCCATACAATATAACAAGGATACTTTATCTTAACTGTGGCGGGTGTGCCTTCTTGGATCGCCAAGCCGGTGATGTGTAACTCCATCACAGCTTCTGATGAATGATTTACTATGAATCAGGTACAGGATAAATGAACTACTTATAATATTGAATTGTTGTTTGAAGGCCTTGGACCGTCTAAAATTCATGAATGTAGTCTGTTAGGTTTGGTGCCTTGTAAATCTCTCGATGGCTTGGGGAGGTCTGTCCCAAGTGGCGCTGTGGGGTTCAAGATGTTTGTTTGGTTCACACTCAGGATGGAATGGAGAAAGGAAACTCACGATGTGCTCTGTATATACATGTTGTATTGGGTGTACAATGCAGCTTGGTGCTGGGAAGGCAGCATGGTTACAAGCGTGATGTAGAGAGAGCTGGTTGGTGAGGATGCTCAGAGCAGGACCAGCCTGTGGGTCGCCATGCTCGCGTGCGGGAGCGAGGGCCGCCAGGCAGCGGAGGAGGAGGAGGAGGTGTTGCTGGCTGGTTGGTGTCTGTAGAAAGAGCCAGGTCACCACGAGGTCAAGTCTTAAATAGCGGGGGTTGGCGTGGCTTAGTAGTTGACCCCCGCTCCGTGGTGTATGGCGGCGCTGGTTGACCTAGACCACAGGCATACACTGGGGAATTGGTGGGGTCGGCTACTCAGCGACAAACAGCGTTTGTAGGGGAGAAATCTACTACAATACTCCCCCTTCCCTCCAGGCAGTGTAGGAGACTTGTTGTCTGCAGGGTTGCATAGCACATGTGAGGCAGAACGGGCTGTGCATGCCACATGTGAGACAACGGCGATGGCGTGGATGAGCCGGTCGCTGGACACAACTGTCGAGATACACAATATCTGTGGTAGTAAAGAGGGAGAAAAAGGGTGTGTGGAGGCGATGAATGTTGTGCTTCCCTCGCAACAGGTATAGAGTCGTCAGATGCGCCTGCTGGGGTGTGTGGGCCTGGGTCAGGAGCAAGGGCAGCGTCAGCAGAAGCGGATGAGGGCTCGTGACAGCAGCTGAGTACATGACAGTAGCAGGGAGCACCTGCGGTGTAGAGACAGTAGTTGTAGAGCCGATGAGAGCTGCTTCTGTGTGGATAAGCCAGTCTTCCATGTTGCTTGAAGACTGGGAGCGTGATCAGTTTCTCCTCCATCCTGTGCGAGTGCGAATCTCCGGGAGTCACCATTTGTGGGGTTCAAGATGTTTGTTTGGTTCACACTCAGGATGGGATGGAGAAAGGAAACTCACGATGTGCTCTCTATATACATGTTGTATTGGATGTACAATGCAGCTTGGTGCTGGGAAGGCAGCATGGTTACAAGCATGATGTAGAGAGAGCTGGTTGGTGAGGACGCTCAGAGAAGGACAGCTTGTGGGTCGCCATGCTCGCCGGCGGGAGAGAGGACCGCCAGGCAGGCGGAGCAGGAGCGAGGGCCGCCAGGCAGCGGCGGAGGAGGTGTTGCTGGCTGGTTGGTGGAGGTAGAAAGAGCCAGGTCACCACGAGGTCAGGTCTTTAATAGCGGGGGTAGGCGTGGTTTAGTAGTTGACCCCCGCTCCGTGGTGTATGGCGGCGCTGGTTGACCTAGACCACGAGGCATACACTGGGGAATTGGTGGGGTCAGCTACTCAGCGACAAACAGCGTTTGTAGGGGAGAAATCCACTACAACGCCCTACCCAGCATTGCGTCTTTCTATAGTCACGTGACTACCCGCGTGACTACCCGCGAAAATGTTTTAACCGTTATGGTCTTCTAAATAACAATACTATAATTCTTTATATTTGGTAATTTTACTCATTTAATGTGGCATAGTTTTCAGTTAACTTTTGGCAAATAAACGAATCTTAGTTTAGGAGATAGATTTTCCACATCACCGCGAAAACATTTCTGACTTAATTAGTAACTCGAGCGGGTTGTTCAAATTTACTTCTTTTTTCAACTCGTCCGAGTTATCAGGTAAGCATTTAAGCAACTTAGTCATCTATTACCTTGTATGAAAAGCATAAATCTATTTTACTTAGTTTTACTTAACTATATATACACTTATTGCGTTACTTTCCGTGACAAAATGAATCGGCATCGTACTCAAGGGTTAAAAAAAGAATGTAACAGCCACGACTCACCTGAGGGCGAGGTCTCCATCCACCCAGTAGGTGAAGAAGTTTGAGAAGGCTCCTCCTGGACTACAGGTGAGGATGAGGACGCCCAAGGCCTGGTAGGGTGGTAGCTGGAAGATGATACAGAGACCAAAACCCACAGCTGGTAGCAACACGAACTGACACACCACACCGATCATACAACCCCACGGCCGCCGCAGGTGATGCCAGATCTGGGGAAGGTACAACTAAATTATTCTACTCAGAAAGCTCTGGTAAATGCTTGATGTGTTAACCTCCAGATAATGACATGGGCCATAATTGTCAAGCATGGTTATGTCTAGCGCAGCTGAATGGAGGACGTGTTACACAGTTTTCCTTTCATCTGCCATAATTTTCTTTGACGGTTGAATCTACAACAAGGGAATCTATGTTAGTTTATTTGTTCTATCTTTTGTAATTTTTTAATGTTGATGTAATAGTGCATTATTAAACCTTGTTACGCTCATAGACCCTAGTTGTTGAAGCACAGTAATAGTATTATAACAAAAACAATCTTTCCTTTTCTTTGTCAACCATTATCGTAACTGCTTGGGCAGTCGGTCATGTCTCTGTTAAACACCGTTTGCAAGTACAAAGCATGTACTGCCTTTAGAATGTGCCAAAGCCTCTTGTCATTATTGGTCAAATATGATTTTAAATGAGCTTAGATTCGGTGTCGTACTAGTTTATTTGCTTTGGTACGACCTAGATGCATATCAATGCATTTCCGACCGAACAATTTTAACAGTTAATGACAAGAGCAGGCCAAGGTTCAAATATTACATTGGCGATCACGACAGGATGATGAAGGAGATGAGGGGTATTCACTGTCCTGACTCGCTGGTAAACAAGAACACGGATACGACCCGAACTTCATAGTCAGTAAAATTAACTATTTTATTGAAAACATTATACCGAAAATCAAACCCACATGAACTACGCGGCGGTTGACAAAGTTAAGAAGAAAACTTATAAGTTCAAGAGATGGGTCGAGACAAATGACTAGCAGGACAGGAAGATGTATGCCAGGTCCAGGAACCAAGCAAAGTCAAAGAGCGGAAGGGCTGAAAAAGAATTTCAGAGGCGGATTGGAAACGAGGCTTTCTAAGTTTCTACAGTTAAGCAAATTAACAGATCTGAGACTTGGAGCTGGTAGTTATGCAGAGTCAGATCAGGTCAAAGCGGAGACGTTAAACAAATTCTTTTCCTCATTTTTAACAACAGAGGACGAGGACAATCTCCCTGCGTTTCAGGAAAACAGTTTGACACAGCACTAACATATAATGTTCTCACAAGAGAGTATTAGGAACAATTTATCAAAATTAAAGGTTTATAAGAGCCCGGAACAAAGAGCGTGCATCCCAAAGCGCTAAGAGAGTTTTGCAACGAGCTTGCCGAGCCCCTTGAAATCCTGTTCTGTAGATACATGGACGAGCAAAAGGTCTCCAGCCACTGGAACGTGGCATATGTGAGTTCTATATTCAAACAGGGAGATCGCCACTTCACAAATACTTATAGGTTGGTGAGCTTGACCAGCAAAGTGTGTAAAGTAGGCCTACTAGAGAGCATTATACGAGATGCCTTCAAGGAACATCTACGAAACGACCTAGTAAAGGAATGCCAGCACGGTTTTATGCCGAGACGTTACTGGATGTATGGATCCAGATCCTAGAGCATGGTGGCAATATCGAGAATACTCACTCGTATATATCTGGACTTTGTCGTGAAAGACTGGAAATTAAACTGGAATGGCTCGGAATTCGGGGAAGTGTCTTGCCGTGGTTTAGAGAATTTCTTCGTGGCCTCAAGCAGTGTGTACCCATGACAAAGCGGGGTACCGCAGGACTGTACTGGGCTCGTTGTTGTTTGTTCATTTTATAAACAACATTCCAGAAGCTATACACTCCTCCATACAAATGTTCGCGGACGATGCCAAGTTATTCTGGCGAAATGTCGTAATGGGTTTTAAACGAATGGTACTCCTTTTATACCAGGTTTCAAAAAGGTTCTCACAGATGTCTCCTAATCATGAAGATATGTAATCATATTCATAAAACACCAATACAATAGTAGCCATCCTCTGTCTCGATCGTGATGATCGACTTTGTGGCTTGTGGCAGGCCTGCTCAGTGACAGTTACGTCACGACATGCGCAAGTTGATAGTAGTATTTCGTCTCTATGTATAGCACTTGGTGTATTACTATACGAAAGAAATTTTTTTCTTTAATATGATTATACAATACATTCTTGAAAATTTCTCTTGTAGCAGCATTTGGCAACACCTCCCTCCCAAGACGCCACACTGGGCACTTTCCTCCCAACATGTTGGCCGATTTTGTTGGTCGCTAGCCTGAAGGCCCAGTAAGCAGCAGGATTTCGGATGTTGTGAGAAACTGACAACGTTTTAACGGCGAGCTTTGCTGGCCGGATTAGTGCTCAATGAGCTTCATATTAGGTGTTGAATATTGAAGTAAAAATTGAAATAAATCATGAAACAATAATAATTTAAATATAACGCATGAAACCGTGACAAGTTTATTTATTCGTCACTTTAAAACCTCATTAGTATTATTAATCATTATTTAGGGTCTTCTTTGACCAGCCAGCCGCCGCCACCTGGCAAAATTTACGATGGCTTCCCCAGCACCCAAACGTAGCCTTTCTTCGAAAGGTTATTTGGAATTGTTAAGCACAGCACAAATTAATAGAGCGCGCTAGGGACTCTTCTGTTTTGTGGGACCACAGACATGAGCACTTCAGCAAAAACCTCCTGAAGAAAGGCAAGTGGAAGGACATCGCCTTAGAACTGCAACAGAAATTCCCAATGTGACGAAAACGTCTCTTTGTTTTGCTGGCTCGGACCGTGTTGGCCCAGCACGGTTGGGAGGAAAAGTGCCCAGTGTGCCGCCGCCTTTATAAAGTCGTTCAGATACTCTCGTAACGCTCTTCAAAAGTGATGTGAGGTGCTTCCCCGTTTAGAGTACTGTCACCCCGTATGGTTCCAGAGATATGCTAAAGATTGCTAGTTGATTGAAAGCGTCCAAAGGATGGTCACAAGATTGGTGCCTGCACTACAGCACCTCAGTTATCCAGATAGATTAGAACACCCGAAACTGCCTAGCTTATACAATAGGTGGGCAAGGGGGGACTTAATATAAGTCTATAAACACTTTAGAGGACATTGCCCAGTAGAGTGTCCATATCTGGAGCTGGAGGATGCCCGCTTCACTGGAGATCACAGTTTATGGTTGGAGAAGCCACAAGTTGAAAAAAAAATTGTAAGGGCAAACTTTTTCGGAGTGAGGGTTATGAACCCTTGGGACAATCTGCTAGAGAGTGTTGTGACGGCACTGAGTGTGAGCTCATTCAAGACCAGACTTGATCAACACTGGTGCAGGTTCAGATACATCTTGGAACCAGTACATGTTCAGTACTTGCCAACAAAGCGTAACATAGACGTAACCGCCCGCTCAAGCGGCTAATAAACCGCTCAGTGGCGGAGAGGATAAAGTAAAGGCAAAGTAACAGCCATTCCTCTGACCACTCCTGAAGCTGACAGAGATCTTCCTGTAACAGTTCACAGTTCGTTATGTTCTTAATTTCCCTGAATAACTTAATGTTGTTTGCAAATATTTGTCTAGAGGAACGATCAGTATCCGGCATATCATGTATCAAACAAACAACAACAACGTTGCCCTGTGGTACCCCGCTTATCACGGGCGCACATGACGATTTCGTGCCATTAATCACTACACACTTCTTGCGGTCATGAAGAAAATCTCATCTAAACCGGGACGTTCCCCCAGAATTTCAGCCTTTCATGAAATTATTAAAGAGTTGATATCATATTTATTATATCACCACCTATCGGCTTACTAGCGGTTAGTCTGTTCTCTATTACTGTTATGAACTTTTATATCCAGTGTTAGTACAGGAGGACCGGGTACGTCACCCGGAGGAAACCTGCGATGTTTAGTAGAGTTATACTGGATAATACCCTTCCCACGTCTGTACCAGACCTTAAGCATTCAGGACTTGAGGACCTGATCGAGAATAACAAAAGAACAGTGGCTGAGGCAGGACAAGATGCATGACAAAACCTCTATGACATCAATACCTCACCTCTTTGACATCAGTAGCGGCGCCCATCCCCAGCAGGAGGACGACGAGGTTGGAGGACTGGAGGAAGAAGAGGATTTTGTCTACAATGATTACCCACTGTGGCAAGGGATCCTCAGCCTCCATCACCGCCCATGTTGAGTTCTCCATCCACGTTGTTTCTGAAGGCGATGATGGATGATAACAGCGATAATAATAACAATAAAGATAATGATAGTAATAAGAATGTCTTAACTCGAATTCCAATTGATTTTGAGTTTGGTAATAATACTTAATATATCTGATGAAACAAATACAAAATGATTTGCTGTATATAAGAGATTAAATAATATTTCGTGAGAACACCAAGGTTTTCGACGTGAGCTGGAAATAATGTGTTTCTGAGGAGTACTGAGTATGTGTTTGTGTGCGCGTGGGAGGATTATAGACTGTCTGGGTGTGTGATAATAATAATAATAATCATAATATTATTATTATTATTATTATTATTATTATTATTATTATTATTATTATTATTATTATTATTATTATTATTATTATTATTATTATTTACAACGGTTTATTGAAAAGTTACAGCAGCCAAAACGTTGATAAGTTACATTGGGCAGAAATAACTTATTGCATACTGGAGAGGCAAAGAACAGCAAACACGTTGTGCAGTAACTCGTTCACAGGTGGTGTTATGAGGGACGTCACGTGGTACTGCAATAACTCGTTCACAAGTGGTGTTATGAGGGACCTCACGTGGTGCTGCAATAACTCGTTCACAGGTGGTGTTATGAGGGACCTCACGTGGTGCTGCAATAACTCGTTCACAGGTGGTGTTATGAGGGACCTCACGTGGTGCTGAAATAAATCGTTCACAGGTGGTGTTATGAGGGACCTCACGTGGTGCTGCAGTAGCTCGTTCACAGGTGGTGTTATGAGGGACCTCACGTGGTGCTGCAATAACTCGTTCACAGGTGGTGTTTGAGGGACCTCGCGTGGTGCTGAAATAACTCGTTCACAGGTGGTGTTATGAGGGACCTCACGTGGCGTGGTAGCAACTTGATCATTACGTGGCGTTGCAGTGACAACGAGATACCATGTGGTGTCTTGGGCATACCGTGTGATGTAGCTCGCTCGCTGCCGACCCTCGATTGTTCTCATCTTTCCCCGTGTTAGGTTCCCAAGGGCAGCTATCACGGGGTGTCCTGAGACCATATTGGTGGATGTGACGAATAACTTGGCCACGACTCTCAGTTGTTACTGTTCAGCATTGATTTCACTAAACACTTCATCACCGTTCAACACTGATTCCACTCCTTTCCGCGACAAAATTGTATATTTTGGTTGGATTTTGCTTATATCCCGTTACTTGCTGCCAAACGTTACGAGGTAGTGAGGCTTTACTATAATAATGATTATGCAAGTTATATCAGAAATCCGGCCTAAGGTATGGCTGGATGACCACTCTCCTGTTATGTGGCAAATTCAGTATCTGGTAGTGTACATACGTAAAAAATAACTGTTCAAATTACTATTAGTTGCTAACATATATGGAAATTTAGGATATTTGTCATGGATAATTTTGCCTGAAACTCCAGTAAAGAGAATTTAGCATTTGTATGATGCTTTAAACGTATCGCCTTGGTCCCTCTCACCATCTTACGTGTGAGATTTCCAAGTGGTGGAGACGACACCTTTCAAATCTCCCATTACAGTTCTGTCGCCGATACAAAGGATGCAGACGGCAGGTGCAGTTCAGTTTTATTAGGGGCGGAATGTTAATCGAAGCTGGTGACGTTGATTATAAGCCACTAAAGTATGCGTGAGTCGGCCGTCTGGAACCTACAAGTTGTATGTTTTGTGAATTAAGGGTAGATGGGTATCTCTCGTTTAGTGCTGTTATTGCCTTCCCCGGGAAAAGGCCAAAACACTGCACTCGACGAAAACTCGCTTACACGCTGCCCACAGGTATAGTGTTCCACTCCCCGGTGGCCTTTCCTAACATGTGGCCACGTCGGAATCATAGTCGATCCTTTTTTACAGATATTATATCACTTCACACAAATCTCGAGTACAAATATTACTGAAAATATATATTGTTGACCACATGTTCCACCGAGGGGCGGAACACTATACCTGTGGGCAACTGTACACTGCAAATTGTATACCATCATAAGAACATAAGAACATAAGAACATAAGAAAGTGGGATACTGCAGGAGGCCGACTGGCCCATACAGGGCAGATCCCTTTCACACCCATCCCAGCACTTCCATGTGCCTATCCAACTTCGTCTTGAAGCTCCCTAGCGTCCCCGATCCTACTATAGCACTCGGTAGCCTATTCCACATATCCACAACTCTATTACCAAACCAGTGCTTGCCTATATCCTTTCTGAATCGGAATTTATCTAATTTAAAGCCATTTGTTCTAGTTATTTCGTTATTACTGAGCTTCAGAACATCTTCCATTTTACCCTTGTTAATCCCACTTACCCACTTGTACACCTCTATCATATCTCCCCTAACTCTACGCCTCTCTAATGAATGTAAGCCTAAGCTTTTCAGTCTTTCTTCATATGGAAGGTTTCTAATATTATGGATCATTTTTGTCATTCTTCTTTGTACTCTCTCCAAAGAATCTATGTCCATTCTATAATAAGGACACCAGAACTGAACCGCATAATCCATGTGTGGCCTCACTAATGCTAGGTAAAGTTTCAAGATAACGTCAGCAGTTCTGTTACTCACAGACCTAGATATGAACCCAAGAATCCTGTTTGCCTTGTTGCGAACGCTAATACATTGTTTTTCTAGGTTTCAAGTCGTTGCTAACAAATACACCTAGATCTTTTTCACAAACTGAGTTTTCTATTTCCGTGTTACCTAGTTTATACTTAACGTTTGTATTCGTCTTCCTATCTGTAGTACCTTGCATTTATCAGTATTAAAATTCATTTGCCAGTCTACTGACCACTCATGTAAGGTATCTAGATCTCTTTGAAGGTGTTCAAAGTCACTGTCTGAATTTATCACTCTCCCCATTTTGGTATCATCTGCAAATTTACTAATCCTACTAGTTATGCCTAAATCAAGATCATTAATGAATATAACAAACAGCAGAGGGCCTAATACAGATCCCTGGGGAACTCCGCTTTTGACCGCACCCCAGTCTGACTTTAATCCATTTATGCTGACTCTTTGTTTCCTACCAGTTAATGACCTAATCCATTTTAATACTGATCCACCTATTCCATGTGCTTCTACCTTCATATCAATCTCTCATGAGGACTCTATCGAATGCTTTACTGAAATCTAAATAAATTATATCATATGACTTATCATTATCTACCGCTTCATATACTTCTGAGAAAAAGCTTAAGCAAATTTGAGACAAGAACGTCCCTGGGTGAACCCGGAGAAGAATGAATTAAGTTGAATGTTTCAAAGGTGGCTTCTGGATTTTTTGCAGCAATAATTGACTCTAGCAACTTGCCTATGATTGACGTGAGACTAATGGGACGGTAATTTGATGCAATTGATTTATCACCTTTTTTGAAAATCGGAACTACATTTGCAAGTTTCCAAGCTTCTGGCACTAGGCCCGATTCTAATGACTTATTAAATAAAACTGCTAATGGATTACTCAACTCATCTCAACATTCTTTTAATATTCTAGCATATACCTCGTCTGGACCAGGCGATTTATGAGGCTTCAGTTTGTTAATTTCTTTAAGCACATGAATTACTAGTAATATTGATATTCATCAACATATTTTCTATACTGTCGTTATATACCTTATGAACTTCTGGAAACTGTGCTTCATTTTTCATTTGTGAATCTGGGCAAAAAATGACTATTTAGCATTACTACATTTCTAACTCATCATCAGTCATTTCTCTGTCGTAGTTTTAAGGGACCTATTATCTCTAACCTTTTGATTTTATACAGTTGATAAAAAGCTTTGGGGTTATTTTTCGATTCGTTTGCTACCTTGATTTCATAATTTCTCTTTGCTTTCCTAATTTCTGTTTTTACCTGTCTTGTTAGGTTCTGATAGTAACCAAGTAAGTGATTTTTGCCTTTCTTAACTTTTCTAAGAGTCTATGATTCATCCATTTTGGTTGGTTCCGTATCGATCTGAATTTTCTTTTAGGGATGTATTTATTTTGAGCATTATAGATTGTCGCAATAAATTGTTCATAAGTAGCTGCTAAATTAAATTCTGGGTTCTCCCGTCCTAAGTTGACAGTTTCCGGAGGTGTGGGGGGGATTAATCTTTTGACCATAGGGTCATCCCTTAGGTCTCTCCTTAAGCTACCGTAATTAGCCTTCCTAAAATCCGGGATCAAGGCCGAATTTTCCTTCTTCCTACCATTCCATATTAAGTTAAAATATATGGCTTTATGATCACTGTTTCCTAGTTCGTCTCCAATCCCAACATCTTTTACTAGATTTTCATTATTACTGAGAACTAAATCGAGGATATTATTTCCTCTAGTGGGCGAGTTTATGAATTGATATAAAAACTATCTTGTACTACTTCTAGAAAATCTTCAGATTCATTATCGCTAAGTTGATTTTTCCAATCTATGCCTGAAAAGTTGAAATCGCCTAGAATACATACATTGTTTCTATCAGATGCCTTCTTTATTTCCTCCCATAGCAATTTACCATCGTTCCTACTCAAATTAGGTGGTCTATATATAACACCAATGACTACGGATTCACTGCCCTCACCAATCTCTACCCAAATACTTTCATTGTCGCTATTTGTTTTAATGTTTTATTTATTGCAGCTTTTTAATGACACCCTGATATACACTGCTACACCGCCACCTCTCCTTCCTACTCTGTCAAATTTAAATAGGTTATATCCTGGAATATGAAATTCTGCTAAAAAATGCTTGCTGTTTGAATTTATCTATGTTTCCGTTATTGCAATTATATCTATGTTCTCTTTACTAACAATGGCCCTGAGCTGGTCCATCTTGTTACACAGGCTTCTACTATTAGTATAATAAACACTCAATATATTTCTTCCGTTTCTATCTGTTTTACATTTATTACTTTGATGTTTGTTATTATGACTAACTATATTTTCAGCATTATCTACTTCTGTTTCACTACTTCCCAGGACCTGCTTGTTTTTTGACTCCCCCCCTGACCCCTCTCTACTGGCGAAACCCCCCTTCGGAGTGACAATTTCACGCTCCAGGGATGCAGACAACGTCTTTACCCCCTCACGAGACAAGTGTACTCCGTCGCGACAGTACAGGTAGTCGTTGCCATAAAATCGTTGCCAGCCATCAATGAATGCCCAACCATTGTTTGCACAATGTTTTTCCAGTCGGCAATTAATAGCAATTGCCCTGGACAGCCATTCACGACCAACCCCTCTTCTAGGCAAGACACCACATACTATTGGGATCCCTCCCCTATCTCTAATCTTCCCCAGCGCCTCCCTATACCTCTTGAAAAGTTCCTCACTCCTAACCTTACCTATGTCGTTTCCTCCCACACTAAGACACACAACTGGATTGGTACCCTCCCCTGACAAAACTCTGTCTAACCTCTCGGCTACATGCCCTATCTCAGCCCCAGGAAAACATACCCTAGTCCTACGTTTCCTATCTCTCGCACAAAAATCCCTATCCACAAACCTCACCTGGCTGTCACCAACTACCACGACCTTACCTGTGTGCAGGGTTTGTATAACTGCCCTTTCCTCTCCTTGATCCATACCGTCCTGCCTCTTCTCTTCCTCTCCAGCTTCCTGCAGCACCTGGTAAGGGTTACTGCACTCCACACCCTGGTCAGCTTTCCTAAGCTTGACCCTAGTCCCCTTGGAGACAACCACACTCCACGCCAATATTTCCAAATCTGTTACATGGCCCACTGTTACCACAGCCCAGGAGGCATCGAGTACTCCAATAATATCCCCCCCCCCAAAAAAAAAAAGACCAAACGAACATAAAAGTGATAGAGGATATCTATGGGCTATAGAAATTATTGTTCTCTGGTGTTTGTAAGGTTTGTTTGAAAGGTTATATTTCACCAGGTGTTGGCCACACTGGGATGGCTGATGGTTGACTAACAGTGAGTCAGCTGACACAATAACATGGCATTTTGTTGCTTACTCAAGGATGCACGCTCATGATCAGCCGAGAATATTTTACAACCAACAAACTTATTTTCTATCAGTTTTGAAAACTGTGAGGGCAAATATTTTTGGAGTGAGAGTTGTGAACTCTTGGAACAACCTGCCAGAGAGTGTTGGGACAGCACCGAGTGGGAGCTGTTTCAAGACCAGACTTGATCAGCACTGGAGCAGGTTCGGATGCATTCAGGAACCAGTGCATGCCCAGTATATACTGTACCTGCTGAACTGTAGTCCTGTATTGTTTGTATACATGCCTATTCAACTGTAAAGATTATGACGAATTATTATTATTATTATTATTATTATTATTATTATTATTATTATTATTATTATTATTATTATTATTATTATTATTATTATTATTATTATTATTATTATTATTATTGTTATTATTATTATTATGGTACCAATAATCGACGTGGGCCAGCGTGTTGTTTACGGTGCTGGTGTCTCCTTGCTGCCACCACCAAGCCTAAAGGCCCCCACCAGGTAAACTAAACATTGGTAGTGAGTGTCGTACGGGTGTTGTAGTGAGTGTCGTATGGGTGTTGTAGTGAGTGTCGTATGGGTGTTGTAGTGAGTGTCGTATGGGTGTTGTAGTGAGTGTCGTAGGGTGTTGGTGCAGTGTCGTAGGGTGTTGTAGCAGGTCATGGGTGTTGTAGTGAGTGTCGGTAGTGAGGCTCGTATGGGTGTTGTAGTGAGTGTCGTGGGGTGTTGTAGTGAGTGTCGTACGGTGTTGTAGTGAGTGTCGTATGGGTGTTGTAGTGAATGTCTACAGGTGTTGTAGTGAGTGTCGTATGGGTGTTGTAGTGAGTCGTATGGGTGTTGTAGTGAATGTCGTACGGGTGTTGTAGTGAGTGTCATACAGGTGTTGTAGTGAGTGTCGTACGGGTGTTGTAGTGAGTGTCGTATGGGTGTTGTAGTGAGTGTCGTATGGGTGTTGTAGTGAATGTCGTACGGGTGTTGTAGTGAGTGTCGTACGGGTGTTGTAGTGAGTGTCGTACGGGTGTTGTAGTGAGTGTCGTATGGGTGTTGTAGTGAGTGTCGTACGGGTGTTGTAGTGAGTGTCATACAGGTGTTGTAGTGAGTGTCGTATGGGTGTTGTAGTGAATGTCGTATGGGTGTTGTAGTGGTGTCGTACGGGTGTTGTAGTGAGTGTCGTACCGGGTGTTGTAGTGAGTGTCATTGGGTTGTGGTTCATGGTGTTTAGTGAGTGTCGTACGGTGTTGTAGTAGGTCTACGGTGATACAGGTGTTGTAGTGAGTGTCGTACGGGTGTTGTAGTAAGTGTCATACAGGTTGTTGTGGTGGTGTCAGTGCAGGTGTATGGGTGTTGTAGTGAATGTTTGTAGTAGGTGTCGTACGGGTGTTGTAGTGAGGTGTCGTACGGGTGTTGTGATGAGTGTCGTGGGTGTTGTAGTGAGTGTCGTATGGAATTGTTGTAGTGAGTGTCGTACGGGTGTTGTAGTGAGTGTCGTACGGGTGTTGTGGTAGTGTCGTGAAATATCATAGGTGTTGTAGTGAATGTCGTACAGATTGCAGGTGTTGTAGAAGTGAGTGTCGTACAGGGTGTTGTAGTGAGTGTCGTGTTGTAGTGGGTGTCGTATGGTGTTGTAGTGAATGTCGTACGGGTGTTGTAGTGAGTGTCGTACGGGGTGTTGTAGTGAGTGTCGTATGGGTGTTGTAGTGAATGTCGTACAGGTGTTGTGGTGTTTGAGTGTCGTACGGGTGTTGTAGTGAGTGTCGTACGGGTGTTGTGGTGTCGTACGGGTGTTGTAATGTTGTGGTGAAGTGTCGTACGGGTGTTGTAGTGACGGGTGTTGTAGTGAGTGTCGTACGGGTGTTGTAGTGAGTGGCATGTCGTACGGGTGTTGTAGTGAGGTATCATGCGTACAGGTGTTGTGTCGTAGTGAGTGTCTTCGTACGGGTGTTGTGTGTAGTGTCGTACGGGTGTTGTAGTGAGTGTCGTACGGGTGTTGTAGTGAGTGTCGTACGGGTGTTGTAGTGAGTGTCGTACGGGTGTTGATCCAATATGGTAAGAAGTACTTGATGTTTGAGTTACTTAATATTTTTTTATTACTAGAATCTTTTTTGTCTGGTTTAAGATCATGAAAGACTTATGGTTGTATAGTTACCTATGATACGTTTTTTCAAAACATTTATTAACTTTTATTCCAGTATATAGTTATTGTTAATTTTTTATGATTTATTCTTTTGTTTTCATTCAATATCCAAAATCACTTTTTATTTCAATATAATGTTCGCCAAAAGAGCCATCTGTTAAGCTCTCTACGATAGGTTGGGTTGGGTTAGGTTGGGTTGGGTTAGGTTGGGTTGGGTTAGGTTAGGTTAGGTTAGGTTGGGTTGGGTTACGTTGAGTTAGGTATTGGTTGGGTTGGATCGTTTAAACCGTTTTAAAAGAACTCGCCACGAGGGGTGAATTAGCAAAGCAACCCAACCTAACCTAACCTAACCCAACCCAACCTAACCTAACCCAACCTAACCCAACCCAACCTAACTCAACCTAATCCAAACTACTTCATTTAGAATCAGAGGTCCTATCGCTTCAAAGACAGAAAGAAATCAGTTGCCCAAAGTTGAATTTACCTTTGAGTTTTTGGACTATTAATATTCGTGAGAAACTGTACCGAAGAAAAAAAATAATTGCATATCTATTTATTACTTAAGATAACCAAACCAGTATTGAGTATTTATTTATTACCTTCATCCATGATCAATATAGTGTGATGGTGATGAGTTACTGATGAAATATACGGTGTTACCCTGAATGGGATGTACAGTTGGCTCCACTAGGATCCACTTGGCTCTTCAACACTGGTCAACACTGGTCAACACTCACACGATGACTGGGGTTAACAACAAATTTTCCCGCCTCTTGATGCTGAGTGGGATATAAACCTATATACAGTACATTGTATCTTAAAATGGGATAGTCACTAGTTATCTCCCACTCCAAGGTGGGCAGCCCAGCAAGTAATCTCCACTCCAGGGTTTATATGACACACTTGTCCCAACCACTTCCAAAGACGGTGCCACCAGACTGATCCACTAAAAGGCGATGTTTGTGTTGTGGCTGCTTCATCACTGAAGACTTTATCAGAGATTAGATAAAATTGTATGGGTGTGTGGGGCAATATTTGAGAGTCGTAAAATGATTCGAAGTCATTGAGTCGAAGAAATGGCCGTCCATGAGAGTCTAATATACAGTTGCACGCACTTCCAACTGGTACAATCAGCGTGGCCAACTCTCTCTCCATAATGTGTGAACCCAGAGAGTATCGAAGCGTGGTTCCCAAGTGCTCATGAGTGAGGGGGAGACTCCCGGAATGGCCCCAAGGAACCTCTCTATAATGCCCAAATTTGCAGATGAGGTCGTTGTGATGATCAGAGAGAGCCGAGAGGGTCAGTGTTATGAGTACTTCTTCATATGCGGAGTAGGAAGAGGAGAGAATAATCTTGCATGCCCTCTTCTGCACCCTTTCTAGGTGTTTCTGTTGTGTGGCATTTAGAGAAGAAGACCAGACAGGAGAAGCGTAGGTGAGCTTGGGAAGTATGAATGTTGAGTAAACACTAAGGAGCTCTAGCGCGGGAACTCCAAGGGACTTGAGTAAGCGGAGGAGGTAGAGACGAAAACTGGAGGATTTGTCAACGTTACTGACGTGTGTTTTCCAATTTAGTTTGTTATCTATAGTAACGCCGAGGAGCTTAGTGGAGTCCACATTCTGGAGTGTGTTGATACCCAAAGTAATGGAGGGGGGTGGGACAAGGTCAGTGGAGAGATTGATGTGCATAATCATGGTCTTGGTATGGTTGATGGTGACATGGTTGCTAGTAGCCCAATTTTGGAGACTGTTCACACTGATCCCAATGGTGGAGTTTTCGACATATTTCCAACGAGCAGAAGTTTCTCTTAGGGCATCATTGATAAGCATGAGGAAGCAGAGTGGTTCCATCTTGATGTCTTGGGGGACACCACAGGTGAGTGACTGAAAAGTGGAGACAGCCCCTCGGAAGCGTACTGCTTGGCGTCGGTCACTGAGGAAGTCTGTAAGCCATGGTCGATGGCTTAGTTGATGATTCAATTGTGGTCGACTAGGTCAAATGCTTTGGTGAAGCCAATGAAGGCGACAGCCGCAGAAGTCTTTCGTTTTTCCAGATGGCAGTATATGTGGTCGAGAAAGCTGACAAGACAGTGAGTGGTGGAGGAAGTTTTCTTATTGCCAAATTGCTGAGGATCTATGGCGTCTGCAATATCAGCAAAGGTTCAGTCAAAAACGAAACTTTCGCAGATTAAGCTGGGTATTGGGGTAATAGCAATGCGCCGTAGCTAATTTAAGGATTGTGGGCTCGTTGACGTGGGCAAGGTGACACAAACAAGGTCTTCCACTCAGCTTGACTGAGGGAAGCATTGATGGTGGAGCAGAGGGGTTTAGCTAGTTCGGGTAAGAACTCCTTATAGGGTTTCATTCATAAGTCAATGGGGGTGGTGGAGCACTTTAACTTTAGTTGTCCAAACGTTTTGCTACTTTAAATTCTTCCACTAACTCAGTGCGAAAAGGGGTTGGCAGGTAAACAGGGAGACTGGCTGTGTCAAGCTGGGGGAGCGTTTGGCATATAATTGCAAAAGGGTTGTTTGATTGCTCAGCTGCGTCACCATTAGTGAGATGGCTAAGGAAGGGGAGGGAGTGTGTCTTATTGTTTAGTCCACAGTTTTTTAAGCTTACTATACCACTTATGATGTTCTGCTTCATGTTTAAACTAGACAAATTTAGATTTAGATGCGAGATAGGTAAACATTGGTTTGGAAATAGAGTAGTGGATGAGTGGGACAAATAACCGAACTTCATCATTAACTCGAACACGCTGGGTAGCTTCAAATATAGGTTGAACTATATGAGCGACAGGGCTTGGGTGTAAACGGGGCTGCCTAGTATGGGCCAATAGGCCCATTGCAGTTTACTCCATTCTCATGCTCTTATGTTCTTAGGTGTTGCGGCTTGGTTGGGTAATAAGACTTCTTTGCAGTGCGTATTTCACGGATGACTTGGTTGTGAAGGGACCTGTAGCAGTTGTGGTCACTGAGATAGAAGACAATGTCTCTCTGCTGCATAAGTCTTTTGATCCGAAGTGTGATGCAAAGCAAGTCAAAACTGGGTGTGATCTGACGGACTTCTCGGGGAAGAAGTAGTGGTGCGCTTCCGTGGTGATGGTGGTGGTGGTGTATTTTGTCCATTCGGTGTCTAAATCATCCACACCTAGTACTTCAGTCCAGGGATGGTGAACTATCCGTATGCCAAAGAGACGCACTGCAGAGTCAGTCATCAGCCTGTAGGTCTTGATGTACTGTAGGGTCTCTGCACTTGGCTGGTAGTGGGAGCTGGAGACCTCTAGTGACTGTGTTGCGTTTACAGCAATCATGATTAAAAAAATACCAAAGGCATTTGGGTGTGATTTTGAGGAAGATGTTGCTATTCCCAGTGACTCAATACACACTGAGATGTTTAAGTTACCAAAGCTTCTTCGAATTTGTCCTTGAACTTGGTGAGAATCTTTCTTTCACGACTCACAAAATTTTTCCATTTATTTTTTTCTTGAAAGCTTCTATAATTACAAATAATTCTTCGTCTCTGATTAAATTGAGAAGCGATTCAATAAATGTTGACTGTCGCTAAGGTACCATAGTTAACCCTCTCAGCCACAGTTGCCTTATCAGTAGCATACATCACTTGGGTCTCCAACACACTATCTCTTGACCTTTATTATCAGGAGCAGATAAACACCGAAGTCTTCAGGTAGTTAACCCTGTCCTTGTTCGCCTTCGCCTTAGTAGCTGCTTAATGATTATTCTCAAATTTTAGAAACTTCTTGTAATTATCTCGGGGAGGTTCTGTGAGGAACTTCACTAACATGATGACCTGACCTAAATTTACCTAACCCAGGCATGTCCTGTTTTTTGGATTTTTTAGATTGCCCCGGAGGGGGCTAGTTTATTGGGCACCCCCTTACATCCTGTGCAAGGTGAATCACAAAAGCGTTTACAGCGCCCATCTGGGAAGCATGCAGAGTTCATACTTGCCTTCATGACTCATGCATTAAGGGCGAAAAAGCCTGAAGGGTCATGGGTTTTGTCAGCAAGTTACATAAAGTGACAGAATGATGAGTGTGTGGGGGGAAATTTCCCGGTACAATTTATCTGTTTATGGCAAAGTGTGGCAGGTCCCTAATAATGTCAAGTGCCAAGCCATAGCCATAGGCATTGACAATTTGAGGGACATACCTTTTAGTGTGATTGTGATGGCGTGTACGTCGGTAGTGTCGGCTTCAAGGGGGGCGTCGAGAGGTTGGTAGGGGACATCCTTCTTGGCGTAGATACGTAGTCCACTAGCATGTCCGCATGGTGGTCAATTGATGTGGAGAACTGGAGTGGATGGACCCTAGGTGCCGGCATGCCGGTGGGGGACGGAGAGCCGGTAGTGGTGTCCTCGGGTCCATGAGCGCGCGCAGTGGGTGGAAGGGGGCAGCCGGGCACGGGGTAGGCTTGGTGTGGACGCCAGCAGTGGTGTTAGGCGGCGGTGGAGTAGGCTGTGAGCATGAGGGGCACACAGGGGGGCTACTAGGTTGTGTCAAACTAGAAGAGGGGGGTGACTGGGTAGTAGCTGGAGGCAGAGGTAGTCTGTGTAGGCTGGAGATGGCGGTACAGAGTGTATCAAAGAGTCTCAATACAGTTGGTAAATTCGTGTAAGAGGGATATGATCTGTGTCGTGTCACCGGAGGGGGGATGTGGGGGGCACCGGTGGGGGCACAAGGTCTGACAGCGTCTGAGTAGAGACGGGGAGGAGGTTCAGTTGTAGTTGAGTTAGGAGACGGCCGGGACTGCTGTGTTGCAGCCAGGTGAGTCCAGGCAGGAGCAGGTGTTGTTGAAGAAGGCTCGGTAGGCTGGGGTGGTAGGTTGAGGTTGCCGCGGCCTTCGGGAAGGCTTTTCTCCCTGGGACAGACGGACGTTTGGGGCATTGCCGTGAGTCAGCATTGCGCCTGCCACCACAATTACAACACCTGGGGTCAACAACATAGCCCACACCACCCCCATTGAGTTGGTCTTTGATTTTTTGGGCACAGACGGAGGAGTGATGGTTACGGGAACAGAAGCGACATCTGGGACGATCACATCGGCAGAAGGCGGTGAAGGTGTGACCCCAATGGGAACAGGTGACACAAAAAGCAGGCCCGGGGTGATATGGTTCAGCTTACAGTGGAAGGAGGATTGGGTGGGCCTCCACAGTGGTTAGGCACTCCCTCCCCTTCCATTTAACTTTGCCAGCTGCTTGTGGGATCTTCCCCTGGTATTGTCGACGTATACTGAGTATACTTGGATTAAAGTTACGAGCATCTTCGACTTCAGCGTATAGGGGTAATTGTTTAACTAGGATATGGCAACACTATTCAGCATCTACTGAGTGGGGGGGGGGGGGCTGAAGGACAACCTCGTTAAACTCAACAGTATTAAGTGTTTCATAGACCTCAGGAGTCTGACACTTGCTAAAGTCAAAGTTTTCTGGATTTCTGGCTTCTTTAACCTTAAGCTGTGGCCCCTCGTGGTGCTAGCGTCCACCAGCTGCAGGTTGGGGCACTCGACTAAGTAAATGCCCTTTGAGATATTTGTACACCTCAATTAGATCTCCCCTTGCCCGTCTGTAGTGTAAGGTTCACACAGACAAAATACCGAAGTAAAGTTTTGATCCTTATAAAGTTATAGCCATAATAAGGTACTGTATATCTTGTATTCTGCAGTTTTAAGAAAGTCACGGAAACATCTGCCTAGTTCTCTATAAAGTACATTTTAATTTTATCATCAGAGAAAACGTCGCTTGTCAATTCTTTAAGGGGCATCCTAAAATAAATTTTACTTGTTTCACCATAATATTAGCCCCTTTTACGTGTTTCACCATAATATTAGCCCCTTTTACTTGTTTCACCATAATATTAGCCCCTTTTACGTGTTTCGCCATAATATTAGCCCCGTTTA